CTGTGCGACATGTGGGGAAAGAAAAATAAATCTTATCATAATTACTTTTTTCCCAGTTTTCAGTTGATATATTTCACAATATAAAATGAAGCATTAGTTATTAGCTTAAATGTTTCTTTCCATTCGTAACTGAAGATATGAGGTCAATTTTGATTTAAATATAATTTATTTTCTAATTTTATTTCAAGCTCATGTAAATAAAAAACATAGGTATACAGAACAAACAAACATTTTAATTCTCTAATTTAACTCTGCTTACTGACATTGTGTCTTTTACATGGAGCTGTCTGTTGCATTCATTGACCTCTCTTTCCAGCAATGTCCTCGCCTTTTGAGCCTTGGGCTGTGTGTGTTTGGAGGGCTTGTTTGGTAATGCTGTCACGTTATCAGTTTTTATTTTCTCTTTCATCTTTCTCACACTGCTAACATACTGCTGTTTATGTCTGCAGTAGCCCAAACATTAACTTTTCCAACTGTGTACATCAACCTAACCTGACGCAGCTCTAACTCTCTTCCAGCCACATGATTGCTTTGGCGTAGCACCATTCTGTTTGGTTTTTCATGCCATTTTCAGGCATTTATCAACACATGGCTGGAATGAATCTACTAACTTTACATTACTCTGTTGAGGAAAAGTTATTTTGCTGTGATAATCTTCATGGTTTTACCATCCAGCCCAAATTGCAAGGACGATGACAGATTCTAAAACTGGGGAACTCGTAAAAAAACCTGATGAATAAAAAACAAAATAGGCCAAAGGAAAAATGGATCTGCTGACTTACTGAGTGTGACATCTTTGTAGAGAGTGGTCTCAAAGTAGCCAGCAAAGCCATGGAGCACCGAGTTACAACCCACTGTGAATCTGAGGCACTGATACCGGTTATTGTTCATATCTGAAACAGACGGGAGGGAGAGGTGGTGAGCACATGCTCGACAAGCTTATTAGAGGGATTTTAAGCGATTCCATCTACCTGTTGAGGGGTGTGTGAAGGTGAAGCAGGGTTTGGGATCAGCCAACTGGTGGAAGTTATGAAGGCGCACAACATAGGGCGTCTCAAAATGGGACTCTGGATCCTTGTCTCGTTCGCGGCACCCTCGTACTTCGTTGTAAAGCTTAGAGGACGACAGAGGAGCCAAGTAGGACGTGTACGAGCAGGGAATGCTCACTCCATCATCTGAAGGTGAGATGATATAAACAAAGGGGAAAATGAAAGTAATTAGAGTCAGGAAGCATTAAAAGGTGACGCTTTCAATATGGCTTGGTGTGGCAATGTAGAAAAATGACCTCTGATGACTCTGCAGTGTCTACATGTGTAATTAAGTCTTCATTAAAATCCTGAAATACCTTTGAGAAAATGCTGTGCTCCATCTAAGCACTCTGGGGAGAGTTCATTGTCGCCAAATGATCCGAGCAGCTCGCTGACAATGATGTCAGCTTTCTCTGGTGCGGCCCACTCCCGCATGTCACATGACACCACCGTCACCTGATCCCCCCACTCCTCAAAGCGCCAATTCTCTAGCCTAGAGAACACACATCAATAAAATAAGCGGTGAAAGTTTCAGGCTTCACTTCAATCCCCTCCTGACTCACTATAAATTCAGACAAAATCAAAGGCCAAGCTTTTATCCAATCTATAGACTCATTCAGGTAGCGCAATTGATCTGTTGCATGCGATAATATTTTTGCTTGTACGCTGTGAAACATGGAACATTTGAAAGCATTATTTTACTCACGTCACTACAGCATTGGGATTTTTCTCCACAGCATACACCCTCAGTCTCCTGTCTGCCTGCCTGGCAGCACGCAGGGATGCATTGACCAGAGGACCCCTACCTGCTCCCAACACCATCAACACCCTGTGGAAAAACCACATCATTATTTTAGACAAGGCTGCTACCCTGGTGGTTACCACTGAGGTTTAAACAGTCAGTCTGTGTTATCCTGCTCTACTTCCAGTGAGACTTATAGGAGTATATTATTGACTGCCATGATATTGAGGTATGAATCAATATCTGGATACAGTTCCTACTCCACAATCCTCATTTGTGACTCTTTATACAATAATCTTAGATATAGATACTTACTGAACATTAGTGTCCTTCTGCTCCTCTGGAACTCTGTCTAGCAAACATTTATATACAGCCTGCACACAAAGAAAAGACCAAAAACAAAACAGGTGTTAAATACATTTTGCCTCAAACTCTTACAGACCATTTAAACCCCTTTGTTAACACCAAACACCTAAATATCAGTGTTTTCCAAATGCTACACAAGTGACAGTCTGTTTTGTGTGGATAAGCTCTACATACACAGACAAATAGCTAGGCGTATCTTCACATTCAGGCTGAACAGAGGCCAATGCAAATGATAATGATTATGGGCAACAGTGTGGTGCGGTGATGAACACAGTTGCTTCACAGTAAGAATGTTCTGGGTCCAAGTCCACTGGCTGGATCAGGGCTTTCCAAGAAAATGGACAGATGGATAATAATTACAAGCTCATAGGTAAAAAGCAACTGACCAATATTGAAAACTGATACCATCCACTAAGGAAACATGAGCCAGGAACTGAATTTTCAAAATAAGCGCAAAGGGATTGTCCACTAATAAAATTAATCACAGCTAGCCGTGTTCTCTGTGATGCATAAAAACAAATGCACTCGCATATCTGAACAGTCTGCCCAAGTAAAGTCTGTGTAGGGGAAACGATTTTACTGCATTTGTATGTCTCCTGGACAAGCAAAGACCTCTCTGTAACATCTGTTCCATGCCTCCTCATATCCAAAAAAAATGTCTGACTGTCTTACTTGTTGGTACTGTGAATACTTAATAGGATCCTTCTCGAACACTTCGTATGTCTGAGACTCCAAGTTGTCCATCAGAGGCTAAACAAAGAAAGCAAAACATGACGTTAAAAGGTCCTGATTAGGAGGAAAAAACAAAAACAGCCTCACAGTTTTACAGTTCTACCAAACAGTGAAACTGCAGTTTCCATTCGTATCTCTCGAAAGTGACTTTTGAGTATGTCATCACTTCATTACTTTATATTATTAGACATGTGTACAATATGTCACAATTAACAGATTCATTCTTGACTTAAAATGTATAGTTTGCAAGGTCATTGCATTTGACCATCAAAATCTAATCTGATGTTCCTTCAGTGATCCAACCAGAAATAACTATACATCTAGCTATGGCTTCAGGTTGCACAGAGGCATACAAACGTGAGCATGAAAGGGTACTTCCTCACCTGTAGAGGTGACTGCAGGTAGTCTTCATAACCCTTAGCAAAGAGCTCGTAGGCATTGGGTGCAGGCCTGTTCTGGTTGAGGTACTCCAGGTACTGCAGGTAGGATCGGAAGTCCTTGTCAGTGTGCCGACTGGTGCCTGTGAAGATGAACTGGGCCTCCAACTAAAAAAAGATCATTTTAATTTAAAGATTTTTTTTCAGAAGTAGGCCAAAAAAAAAAAAAAAAACTTTTTGTATTTGATTGCAGATTGAGTTCTGTTAAAATCAAACAATCTATGAATGTTATTTTATACCTTGAAGAGTCGAAAGATTATTCTCTGATGGGCTTTCGACAAAACAGGGAAGCCCTTCTTATTGGTTAGGAAGATGCTGGTGGGGAGAATGGCTGCTTTGATAGGTTCTCCGAGCCATTTATCAATCACAGTGTCTGATGGCATATCTGGTCCAATTTCAACCGCTTTAGGAATACAAACGAAGCACAATCTCAGTAACAGACAGGAGCATAATTATTTCTCAATGCCCAAAGTTTGCTGCTTCACAGTATGTTCTCTCACCAAGACAGATCCTCTTGTTGTAGTCACAAAGGGTTCTGAATGAGTTCCACCTATGAGAAAAAAAATGAGGTAAGTAAACAAAGAGAGACAGCATTTTAAAGGAAATCAATAGCAACCGTTTCAGCATGCAGACGGCACTCAGTTGCTCAGGAAGTGCCGTGGCATGAAACTAACCAGCTCCAAGTCTTCTCATCAACACTTGTGTCATCAGTACAAGAGATCGGTTCATTCTCAGTCAGATCTTCCCGCATGTCCTCTGACGCCATCAGTGGGACGCGTATCCAGAACTAATCAACAAAGAGGACAGCAGCGGTTAAATGAGGACTTCCACTGTCTTGACTTTTCTGACATCTTAACGCAGTCTTTGTGTGCTTGTTGATTCCTGATGTGCTGCGTCTTACATTTGAGGTGTGATGTCCAGTGTGGATGTGATTTAGCAGCACTCGGGCTAGATTGGCATTACTAACGCCCTTCAGAGGGATCATGAAGACAGGCAGGCCCAGGTAGGCGGAGAAGTTTAGCTCCTGGGCAAGAGCCTAGAGAGGAACATGGGAAAACAGATAAGATAAGCATTAAAAAGATGACATGATAACCTCACTCGTATCACAAGATCAAAGAAACCTCACAAGCACCATCAAACTCAAAGAACTTACAGCCTCTGAGTTTCTGCGTTCTGTCTCGATTTCTGAATCTGCATCAATCCATGGAGAGAGCTTCCCAACGATTAGAGTATTCCAATCTAGACAGAACAAAAGGACGGTTTAGAGAAAGCATCAAACACCTAACCACTTTACCTTTATGCTAAAAATCACATTATTCTGATGATGAGTATTTAATACAAAATATGAA